ATATATAGGGGAACTTTCACATATAACCACTCAAAACAAACTGACTTTTCTCTATAGTTATAGTTTAATAATAACAATTCGAAGCTATATGTTATAGGGAGGAGAGAAACGAGCGAAATTGGGAGAGAGAGGCGAGAGGCGAGAGAGAGGGCAAAAAGTGAGAGAGAGATGAATTATATATGTATATCAGTTAAATAATTGTATATTATACATAAGCATTTGTATATATGACAAGCGAGATTAGGAGAGACAGGAGAGAGGCGAGCAAGAATGGGAGAGGACAGATAGTGGAAGAGAAGTGAATTGTATATATATATCGATTAGATAATTGTATATTATATATATATGTATTTGTATATTCTGACGAATTATACATATACAAATGTGGCTAATTATACAAACTCGAAATCAGCCCACGTAATTAATGCATAATGTTAGTCGTGAGTAGTAATTATAGAAAACTATAGCCATGATTAGTACTTAAGTAGTATAAGTATGTTTAACCGCATAATTTTCCCTATATAATATAGACATTGATCGATATTCATATACAATCAAACATTGGACATAATTGTTATAACAAAATATTATTAGAAAATATTATTATAGAGAAGTCTGACTGTACGAGTGTGTTATTGTACGAAAAGGTGACACTATTTGCAGTGCATTCAGCTGGTTGTTTCTATTACTGGTTGGCAACACGTTATCATAATTCAGAATCAACATGGATGGGAGCAAATATACCTGATTTCAAATCAAGAAGTATATGGCTAGGATATACTTATTCAATGTATTGGTCTATTGTTACACTTTCAACTGTTGGCTATGGTGATCTTCATGCTGTGAATATTGAAGAAAAGATTTTCACCATTTTTTACATGCTTTTCAACATTGGCCTTACTGCATACTTGATTGGCAACATGACTAACCTTATTGTCCATACCGCTGTCCGAACCTTCGTCATGGTACGTATTATTTCATCTATCTTAATTTATGTGATATTATTTTCTTTTTTAATCGGTTTCAAAAAGAATTGAGAATCCTCATCACATAAGCATTCTCAATAAAGAAAGCTCGGATTACTGATTTAATCCTCGAATTTAAAGAACCAACCTGATCAGACTGACCTAGTGGATAAATAAAAAATACAGAAATGAAAACAATAATTGAACTAGAGAATGTGATTGCATTATAAAGTCTCAATTGAACAGATCAAGTAAGCTCGAGTTGTCATAACATGCAACCTTACAGGCCAAAAGTTTTATAAGAGCAACAAAAGTCTGCACGCCGTTCAATTCAGTGGCTGATTCAGGATTTTCATTAATGAAGTTCGGAAAAAAAAGAGTAGTGCCTAAGATTTGATCTTGGAATCTCAAGCACTAAGCCACACAACAACAAAAACAACTTTTAGTGACATTAAATATTGATATTAATAAAGAGTGTTAACCTCTTTACCGGCATTGGTTAAGTGTCATTAGAACTAATATCACTAAAGGCTTTAGGAACATATACAAAGAGTGACAATTGCCGCTAAAAATACATATTTAACAGCAATTAAGAATTTAATGCCGCTAATGGTCATTTTTGTTATTGTGTCAGCCTCTAATCTTACATTCAGGAGGTTCAAAATTAATATATAGACATAAAAAATTCTTAAAAATACCTTAAATATACAACATAATTTTTTAATGAACCCCCTCGGCAATCTCTAAGTCCACCCCCGGTCCAATTGGCACCAACAAGTAAAATTATATTCTTATGCTTCATGAGTATACTACCCCATAGTAACAACAACAAATATGTGAAACTATTAGCAGGATGATTAGAAACGATCGAGAATGACATATTTCTATATTTATTAAATGTGCATGTAGAGGGATGCTATCAATGAGATTTTGAGGTATGCAAAAAAAAATAGACTTCCAGAAGGGCTAAGAGAACAAATGTTGGCACATTTAACACTGAAATTCAAGACAGCAGAACTACAACAAGAACAAGTTTTAGAAGACTTGCCAAAGGCTATTAGATCTAGCATTCTACAACAACTCTTTCGTACCACTCTACAAAATTCCCATCTATTCAAAGGAGTCTCCGACGACTTTATCGTCCAATTGGTAATTTCTTTCTCAATTTATGTGACGATATTTGATTGGATGACACAAAATATAAGGGATAAGCTAGAAGTATCTCCTTAGACTATGATCCAAATTGCAGAGACACATCCGACCTAAACTAAGGTCTTATTATCTCCTGAACTCATTTTCTTTTTAATTTTGTACACTATTTTTGCTTACGTGACATCCAAACATCTCCACGTGCATCAACTCCGTGGGGAGTCATGGAATGTGCCACATAAGCCAAAAGGTGTACAATATTATATATAAAATAAGTTCAGGGATAATAAGACCTTAATTTAATTAAAATGTCTTTGAAATTTCAATCATAATCTAGGAGTACTTGTGTCTTCTCCAAAAATATAGTATTTTCTTCTTCTTATTTTTTTTATAATGTAGGTATCAGAAATAAAAGCAGAATATTTTCCACCAAAAGTGGATATTGTCATACAAAATGAGATACCAACAGATTTCTACATTATTGTATCTGGGGCTGTGGTACGTTACATTCATTCCAGCAGTCAAGTTTTAATTAATTCTAACTCTTTAAAAATGTCATCGTGTGTGTCGAATCCTTCAAAAATAGTGGATTTGTGAAGGATTTGACACTAATACGATAACATTTTAGATAGTTTGAACAAATATATTTTCTAACTTACTAAATAGTTAATTGACCAATGCAGGATGTTGTAACATACAAGAACGGAATGGAACAAGTATGTACCTATATCTCTTTCTCTTCGACTTAACTCAATAACTTTAATTTGAATTTTGTGTTTGTGTTAATTCGTCACTTTTCTTAAATATCAATGTTAAAAATAATAATAAGGTGAAACATTCTTGATTGATTGAGATAAAACGATTTTCTCGGTATAGCTTCACTCCGTCAAATCTGTACGAATAGTGAAGAAGTTTAGATTTAGTTGGTTGTAAAAAAATTCATTAAAATAAGCATAGAAATTCAATTCAAATTCCTAAAACTAGCATTGTTGGTTGTATTCTCTAATCGCGAACACATAAACTTCAAATCCTGACTTCACATCCAGTGGCGGAGTCAGAAATTTCACAGTATTATTTTAACAGATAGGATTCAATTGAACCCCTTTTCTCTGCCTAGCACGAACATATCAAAATAAACCTCTTAGACTATTCACATATAATTAATTGATTATATATGTTTAATAAAAAAAAATTTCTACAACTTTTTTGTTTGACAGTTTTTATCCAAGTTGGGATCTCAACAAATGTTTGGAGAAATAGGTGTAATATTCAATATCCCTCAACCTTTCACAGTGAGAACTAAAAGGCTTTCTCAAGTTGTTCGTATTAGTCATCATCATTTCAAGCAATTGGTACAACCCCTTCATGAAGATGGAAAAATAATTCACACTAATTTTATTCAGGTGCATTATACATTAATTTTCTCCCGTAATAGTTATTATCTTAGAAAGTCGATTTCTTTGATGAAGAAAATTAGAATCAATGAGAAAAATGACTTTCTGAGATAATAACTGGTAGTTACGTGTCGCATTTGTTACTTGTTGATGTTAATTTTTGGTGTTATATATCAGCATTTGAAGGGATTGAAAAATGAGGAGCTAGCTGAGATGCCGCTAATATCAGAATTTCTTGATGATTTAATTAGTGAGGTAATTTACTTTTTGTGGTAAACTATATATGAAATCAATTACACAGAATATAAACTTAATTTCATACAGTAATTAATTTGAGGATGTGTTGTTATGTTAGTGAGAAATGTTAGGCTAAATACGTCTGACGATCTTTTAAATTTGTCAATAAATTTCATGTTGACACTCAATTTATGACATGTTTTTATTAAACTCGTGTCAGTTTCTTTAATTTGATTAATTATACAAGTAAATATCAATTGGAACAAGTATAATGATATACGATTTGTTGAGGCTAATGTATTTATATAATTAAATGAATTGATATATTTGAGTGTTTAATGTATCTGTATAATGGACGCTTGAATACACACGGTATAATCTTTTTCAAAATATAGTCAGAATTGTCTAATTGAAACACTTTTAAGTATATATATCTTAATGAAATTTAATGACAAATTTAAGAGACGTAGACTATCAATATATTCAGCCAAAATGTTACTATGATTTTGTTCTTTTATAACATAGTTAATATATGCAAAACAAACTAAGTTTATAACTGCAATCAAATGGAGATGCAAAGACCAAATTTTTTGAATAACTCTTTTATGTTTGTTTCGTTTTCTTGCAGGAAGCCTCGATGAATGAGGCCGGAGCTCAAGACCAACAAGAAAACGGTAACCTGTCTTATTTTCAAGATTACAAACCTCACATTTAATAAGGCATAAATATTATGTGTTTACTTCTTCATATTATAATCCCTCATTTCGTATGCAGAGTTATCGGCAACTACTTCTTCGTTATCAAAAACACCTTCTACTAGAGTGATAATTCACGGATATCACCCGGATCATAAGCCAAAATCAGGAGGAAAACTTATACATCTACCTGATTCAATTGAAAATCTTCATAGTATTGCAGGTGATCATTAGTACATTCAATTTGAAATATAACATCTTGTAGCAGGGGTGTCAAATCGGCTGGTTGGGTTGAAATTGAAAATATCATAATGCGTTGAATAGAAATCGGGTTAGGTCTTGACCCGTCCAAGTTTACTTTGGGTTCAAATGGGCTAAAAAACGGGTTGGGTCTTGATCCGCCCAATTCGGCCTGATTAATCTCAATAATATAACATATTGATAATTAACTTTAATAATCAAAAAAATAACAAACTGATAGATAAATCCTAAAAGATGTTTAATAGATAATAATTCATACCTTCAATATAGTAACATAACTTAATAAAAAAAATTAAAACGGGCTGAATGGATTGAGATTGGACCCAATTCAAATTATATTGAACTCAACCCTTAAAATTCTGGGCAAGTTGGGCGGGTTACATATGTTTTGGTTCATTTTTAACACTCCTATCTTGTAGCATTTCAACAATTTCATTCCCATTGATCCGATCAAAATCCGTTGTTAATCCTATATTTGGTGTGGATGCAGAAAGTAAGTTTGGGAGAAGAGGAAGTACGATTCTCATGGCGGATGGTTCTCAAGTAGAGGATTTGGCTGCTCTGAGAGAGGATGATCACTTGTATATTTTTTGAGGAAAAAAAAACAAATGTACTGAAAATATTTTGTGTGTTGATATACTCATATTGAATCTGACAGTAAATATATGGTAATGAGATTGAATATATATAATAGAATAAATAAGAGTTCGGAGCTTAAAAGGTATAAAATATTAATAAAAATTTTAAAATGGTTTATTAAATTTTGTATTAATCAAAATGACAAAATCACTGAAAAACAGCGATTTTCTCTACCGAAAAAA